AGGAATATCAACAATTCCCTTTTCAAGTGCCCTGCTGCCCTGGGAAGTCCTACTGGAGACTGTGATGCTCCTGCACTGAGTCACTGGAGCTGCTCTTGTGCAAGGATGCACAGGCTGGGTCAGGGCACCCCCAAACCTGCAGTTAAAGCGAGATTCCAGCCCTGTGTACTGGGATTTTTCCCTTTAAAGGGAAGAAAATGCACTTTCAGAAAAAAACAGTTTCTTTCTTTTTTCTCCCCCCCCAATAGTTTGACATGGTCTGCTTGCAGGGTGGCACATGAAGGGAAGCACGTGATCAGGGCTTTGCTCTTGGTCTCAGCTGTAATTTAAGCTTCCTGCAGCAATGTTGTCCTTGTTAGGACTTTTTTCCTGGGACTGTTTTTTGGGTTATTTTGAACTTTTCCATGTATGGAAAAGGCAAGCAGAAAACTGCAGTGAAGGTGGAAAGGAACCAAAGGAGTAGAGCTGGTGGCTCCTGTGCTGACACAGGTGACTGTCTAGGCACAAGGAGAAGGTTTTGCAATATCTGCTGAGCCTTTTGCATAAGTCCTGCAGCTGTTTTCTCAATCTGCTCTGAAAATGTCTGTTCAGAGCTCCCTGAGACCAGTATTTCTCTAAACACCATGTCAGGTGGGTGCTGAAGGCACAGCAGAGCTCAAGAACAGCACTCCTGTCCCTAAAAGTCATAATTCCTTCTAAGAAATTGGATTTCTCCTTGAAAATTCACTTGAATGGAACATATTTGAGTTTTCAACGCACCTAAAACTTCATCTGCAACTTGTTTTGTGGGAAGGGTGTTTGAAAAAAAAAGCTCTCTGGATGTTGCTTTTTCATTTGGGAGGATAAAATATTTGGGGCTGGTAGAGTTGGTGCCCCACTCTGGACAGGATCCCCAAGGAAAAGGCCAACTTAAAGGAGAGGTATGAGATAGTATTTTCTGGGATAGTAAACTTTGAGGAATAACCTGTTTACAAAATGAATTGGGCTTTGATGCAGGTGATAAATTGCTGGTGGAAGTCTCGAGGCCACGGGTGGATGTCCTGGTGGCAACAGGCAGGAGAAAAATGTCCTAGATTTTAGCAATTAGTTAGGGAAGACTAATTGGAAGCTGCCAGGAGAAGACAGAGTTTGCCAATGGTACTGAGTTATTTGGGGTAATAAAGTGATGCTGATTTGTAGGAAGACCTTGAATTGCTGATTGACTGGATGATCTGGTGAGTGATAAAATTCATACAGATAAAAATCAGGCAGTGCAGACAGAAACAATCCCTCATCCTTCTGCAGTAACAGGCCCTGAGGTGACTGTTGGTACTCAGACACTCCGTGGGTGTGTGGTACAATATCAACACTGTTCAGCAGGATTGCCCCAAAAAAGTAAATTGTATGTTAGGAATGATAAGGAAATTATTAGGAAATCCTGCTGCTGTGTGCACCCCCAATGCACCCATACTTCTGGGTTGTTCTAGTGTCCTAGAATGAGGTAAGAGCTGGAAAAGGTAGGGAAGAGCAGCAGGACTAATAAAGGAACCAAGTGGCTGCTGTGGGAAGAGCATGTGAGTAGGAGGGGCTGTGATCTGGCAGAAGGGAAAAGATGAGGGGGATGTGGAGGAGGATTGTGAGTGCTGGAAAACCAGGAGTTGAATGGAGGAGGTGAGCACGAAGCACTCACTCGGGGTTTGAAGCAGCTCCTCAGGGTTTCTTCCAGTGTGAGAGTCCACATCAAGGGGAGTTTTCCAGAGGCAGGTATGGCACAAGCAGGAGGTGCTGCTGTCCTGCCTGGTGCCACCGTGCCATGGGATGCTTCCTGCCCCAGCCCTGGAAACCTCTGTGAGTGCAGAAAGTCGGGATGAGAAGGAAATGCCCTTGGGGGTTGCTGAATGTGAGCTGGTGCCTCTGGCTTGGGAAGCTGCTGCACCCTGGCTCGCTGGGAGCTGCAGGGAGGTGTCAGGGAGGGGTCGGTGCGTTCGCCCTGTCCCTGTGCTTTTCCCCAGGCCCTGGATCTGTGTCTGATGGGGGAGCTGCCGTGTTGCAACCATTGTAACAGGTCAAGGATGGTATTTTACAGTCTGGGAATTGGCTACAGCTCATTTTTGATGAACAAGGAAGCAAAAGTCAAGCACCACGGGATTTATTAAGTATTCGATTTATTAAGTATTCTCAGCAGGCAGCAGTGATGCACTTGATGACAACCTGTGCTGTGAAAATCCCGAGTGCTTTTTGAATTCTGCATTTCACAGGGACCCTTCGTTTGAAATAAGTCCCCTTTGTATTTCAGGGAGTTTTCTGGCATTTCTGTGACAACATGTGGTCAAATGCACTAAGCTGACTCCTTATCCACCTTTCCCATAGGGGGTGCTGAGAGGTCTTGTGTGGGCACTGAAAGAGATGTTGAATCAGAGTGGTGGGAGATGTGTGCCATCCAGACCTGGAAAATTCTTATTTTGGCTGTGCTGTCCATGATGCTTCTGGCTCAGAGCCCTCAGGGGTGTGTTCAACTGCCTTTCCCCAGAACAGAATTTCACAAAGGAATGCAGAAAGCAGGGAAAATGTCTTCACAGGAACCACCACACCCTCCACATGGGGCAGCTGTGTCTGAGGTGTCCTTACAAAGGGTATAAACATGGTGTGACAAAGCAAAGTCTGGTTTGGGGTGAAAGAATGTACACAGTGCTGTGTTCCCTGCTACGGAATGGAGGCTTGGAATGGTTGTGGGGTAGAACTGCTGACTTAACACAAACAGTTGTTTCACTGGCTAAAAGTGGAAGAGAAAGGGCTGATGGATCATATTTAGGACAAGGAGAACAGGATCACAGCTGTAGGAAGAGCTTTGGGTAGCACCAGTAGCAAATGGAGCATCCTTTCCCCTTCCCTGTAAGGGATTCCATAGTAAATCCCCAGCTGCTCTGAGGAAAAGCTTGTGGCCTGGTTTTCCTACTGGACTGTGACTGAGGGAATTCCAGAGGAAGGAAAGTGCCCCTGCTTTCCTCGGCAAGAGGCCGTGCAGGTTTGGGCTGTGGCTTGAGGGTGGAACATGCCCTGAGCTCTCCAGCCCCATGGCAGTGACATGAGTCTCCCTGGGAGTGAGATTCCCTGTGGATGTGGGGAGTTCCCTGCTTTCAGTAGCACTTGCCCACCACTGCTGAGCAGGAGGTTTGGGGTTTTCCTTTGTGACCTCCACACACAGCGAGAGGAACGACACCAAAGCGCCCTCGCGGAAAACCACTTGAGAAGGGCCCTGCTCCCTCCCGGCACGGGTCACAGACAGGCCCCATCCCAGGGCAGCAGGGTCTGGGGAGCAGGACATGCCCAGTGCGGCATGGAAAGGGAGTCACCGCGGGCTGGCAGCAGGAGGAGCCCCCTCCCAGTGGGAATGCTGCTCTCCTGCCCTCCCAGCCTGCCAGGGTTCCCCTGCTCCCCGCTGCGGGAGCTCCTCCCAGAGCTGCTCCGTGGTTTTTCTTCACAGAAAGTTTCTCTTGAGAGACAGGGCAGAACGAACCTTGGCTTGTGTTCAAGAGCACTGGAGATAAGACTGAGCAGGGCCTTTGAAGAGCCAGGAGACAAGATAAAAGCTCTGGAGTGCAGTTCAGCACCGACACAGTCTGTTATTTACACTCAGGTCTGTGTTTGCCTTTCGGTAACGAGGGACAACAAGGGCTCCCCCATTTTGGGGGGTTTTGGAGGCACCAAGACCCCAGAACGCTGACAGAGAATGTAATAATAATTCAGGCCAAAATTCAGGCCAAAATCCAGGCCAGACTGCTGTGCTGTTGGCTGCTCCTTGGGGTTTGTTTAGATGTTTCAGGAGGCGTTGGCTTTGAGACAGGCATACTTCTTATAGGAACAGAAGTTGTACTTTCTGACTGTCATGAGGATAAACCACCTCTGTCCTCCATCCACATTCTGGTGTCGTTGAACCCAGAGATGCAGCCTGAACTGAACATGTGCGGGGAGAAAATGATACTGAGGGATGTCACACACCATGTTTTGAGATGATAAAGTAGGAGCGAGTGGGAACGTTTAGGAACCACCAGGAGCAGCCACAGTGCCCTCGGAGCTGAGCCGTGGGCTGTGAGCCATGGGCTGTAAACACTGTGGGTGGTCAGTGGTTCTGCTGCAGCACAAGGGATGGGGCAGCTCTGGGACTGGGATTCAGCAACGTGTGTGAGCCCAGGATGGAGCTAAACCAAGTCTCATTCCAGCCCTCCAAGTAAAGAACGATCCCATGGGGCCATATGGAGACACTGATCTGTGTGTGTGCAAGGTACAAACCTGTGGCTGGCAAAGGATTTATAGATGGGGGAGCAGGAGCTGAGCAGGAAAGGAGAGCAGTAGCCTTGCTGGGCCCTCCTCCTGCCTCCTCCATCGTTGCACAGTGGGAGCTGCTCCGGCACACGGGGCCGGGAGTGCCCGAGGACACACAGGCTCCTCTGTCCCTGGCAGTGTGTCCCTGTTTGATTCCAGAACCCCACGGGTTATTTTGTGCCTGTGAATCCGTGTGCTGCTGCATTTTCCAGTTCTTTTAGATAAGACACTGAGAGCTGGGAGTGCTTCCCTGCGGGTTTTGGGCTGCCTGTGTCCCTGAGCTGGTTGGCGCAGGGACAGGCTGGTCCTCCCCACTCCCAGCCATCGCCTCCAGCTCGGGGGACAGGAGTGGTACCTCCAGAGTCAAAGGTGTTGGAAATTCCTCAGGTGCTTCCTTTTCCCCTTCTGGCAACCAAAGAAGACCTTTCTTCTCCAAAAGAGAAGACTTGCTGTCCTGTCCTCAGTGCCACAGGACACAGATCTTTCAGGGCGCAGTGACCCGTGTGGCTGTGGCAGCTCCCACTGGCGCTCGGCTCTGTCCCCTTCCAAGCAGAGAAAGGACCATCACTCTCTGTCTTGCATCTGGCTCTGGCTCTTTGTTTGTATTTGCATGAGAATTTGCTTTTCTCTGGACTATGGCTCTGCTCTGTACCGCTGAGGATTTTAGGGAAATCAGGAGGGTGGGATGTGAAATGGGAGCTGACTGTGTTTCAGCTCTGCCGGTGGGTTGTTTTCTGCTTGTTTGGGGTTTTTTAAGTGGATTTGCTGAGCATGTTTCCCTTCTGATTTGCATGGCTAATATCCTTGTCCTGCTTGTCATGCAGCAATTCCTATTTTTCCTTTATGGCCTCCTGCAAGGTGACTCTGAGTAATTCTGGAGTGAAGCTGCGGCGCAAGGTGCTGAAGGAGTGCAGGTTGTGGAGGTTCAGAGCTCCTGGACACAGTCTCTGGTCCTCTCTCCCCATCTCCGTTGGGTGCTGGATCCATCCCTGCCTGGATGAAGGCAAAAGCTCTGGTGCAGCACTTGCCCTGCTGGGGCCATGGCTGGGCAGGAAGGTCTGGAGAGCCAGGTGACAAGTGTCTGCAGAAGAGCAGTGTGTGGAGAAGGAAGGGCTGGGAGGAGCCCCGGGTAACAAATACAGGAAATGAGTTCAGCACAACCACAAGTTCTCCATTGTCTGGGCCCCATCTCCTGTGCAGCCCTGGAGTGAACAAACACCGCTGGCTTTGCAGGATGAAAGTTAATTTGGAGTTAAAACCCCAGCCCTCCGCTGCTGGTACTGAAAAGTGGAGCTCCGTGGAGGAGTTGCCACGAGCAGGAGAGGGGGGTGTGTGGGTGGTGCTCAGCTCTGCCAAGGAAAAGGGCTCACGAGGGGAGAATGAGCCACTGGAGAAATTCCCTAGCGGAAAATAGGCACATTTTCTGCTGGGTGAGTGCTCCCCCTTCCCTCCCTCCAAATGCTCTGGGATTAAGCAGGTTTCATTGTTACTCTCTTGGAGAGGTGCTTTTCAAAAGGGAGCGACAGTGGTCAGGTGATCCTGATTTACAATCCAGCCCATCCCATTTTTCCTAAAGATGCCTGTTTGCTATAGATGTGTCAGAATTGCAAATGCTCCAGAAATTTGGAAAATTGCAGAGGAAAAAATCAGCAGTTCCTTATAAAATGTCTGTGCAGCTCTGTGTGTGTCGTGGTGCAGACACATGGTGCCTGAAGCTGAGCTCAGATTCCAGCTCCAATTTAACATCCCAGTCTGACCTGCTCTGACAGTCCCAGGTTGTGGATTTTGCCCTGTTTCTGAAGGAGCAGGTGCTCTGACAGTGCCCTGTTTGCTTGGACAGGGATTTAGACTGCATTTCAGATAGTGAATTGCTGTGCTTTATTGGAGGAGTGGGAATTTTGTCTTTCCATTCTAAACAGCACCACCAGTAGAACTCTGGGATACCTTGGCTTAGCAACACCTCACGTAGGAATGCAGAAAATGCTGAATAATTTAAAGGATTCTATAAATACTTTGATATGGTGCTGCAATCCAAGTACCACTAATCGGATGAGCCTTATACTTAACAAAACAAATCCCTGGTGAGCCATTGCTGTAGGATACTGGAATTGCTGTGGAAAAAAACCACTGTTAACAACTGACAACTGCAGAAAATGGGACTTGGAGGGAGAGAGCCCAGCCCTGCAGTGACTGGGGTCCCAAAAATGATCTTTCTTGTGGAGGGAGGTTCCAGGTAAAGGTGTCATGCTAATCAAAAAGACTCTCCTAGTGTGTGTTTTGACAAAATCACCCTGTTACACACCTCTGGTGTGAGGAGGCCAAACTCTCCTCTGCTTGTCTGCATGTCTATCCCAGAGTTCCAGAAGGAATTTCTTTAAGGGCGGTCTCCAACTGTGCCTTTTTCAGACCAAAACAGCGTTTGTGGTGTTTGTCACGGGGGCTTGTCCCAGGTGATGCAGGTAATCCAGAATAAAGACAAAAAATAAGGAAAGCCAAGGAAAGGAAGATCGTCTTAAACAATTTTGCAACCCTTGAGGAGCTTACCGTGGATTTGGGTCAATGTTTGGATTGTGGCCTGGTTTTTTGGATGCAGCTTTTCCCTCCTTCTCCCGTCATCCCCCTCTGTTGTGTTTCTTCGGCAGTGCCAGAAGCTCCGAGAGGTTTTTAACCTGGATTACCCTCACAGCACCTTTCTGCTGAAGACCCTGACCATTGTGTCCGGCCCTGACATGGTCGACCTCACCTTCCATAACTTTGTGTCCTACAAGGAGAATGTTGGCAAGGTATTGGATCCTGAGGGCATGGAAGCACTGGGAACCACTAAGGGTTGGGGCATTCAGTGGGGAGCAGGAAAGGAGAGGACCCTGAGCCCTGTCAGTGCTACTGGCAAGGTTATAAACAAGCAGGTTTGTGCTCCAGTCAGGTGTGGGTCCTCTGTAGTTCTAGAAACTTCTGCCCTGCATGGAGAAGGACCAGTAGAAGGTATTTAGTGAGTCATTGTTGTCCTTTGTGTGTTTTGTAAGGATGAACAGAAGCTGAGAAGTGGCAAAGTTTCAGCTGCTGGTGTCTGTAGGCAGGAGGAAGGTGATAGAGCCAAGCCCGGGGCACAGATGTTGGGATTTGGAGCCCAGCAGTATTGGACAGGACAAGGGGCAATGCTTTTAAACCGGAACAAGTAGATTTAAAGTGGATGTGGGAGGAAATTCTTCCCTGTGAGGGGGGTGAGGCCCTGGCACAGGTTGCCCAGAGAAGCTGTGGCTGCCCCATCCCTGGAAGTGTCCAAGGCCTGGTTGGAGCAACCTGGGCTAGTGGAAGGTGTCCCTGCCCGTGGCCGGGAGTGGCACTGGATGAGCTGTAAGGTCCCTTCCAACCCAGACCATTTGGGAATTCTGTCCCCTTTCCATGTGTGCTGTGTGTGTCCCAGAGCAGTCCCATAGTGCCTGTGGCCTGTGTGTGTGTTCCAGAGCTGGGCTGACGACATCCTGGCCATCGTCCGCAACCCCCTCACCTACAACGCCTCCCGCTACACCTTCCTGGAGAAAATGTGAGTGATCTGTTCTCTGAAACACCTGGGTCCTTTCCATCTGTACTGGGAAAAAAGGCTTCTTAGCATCCAGGTCCCTGGGCAGCCTCCAGACCGAGGCCTGGCTCAGGCCAGGGTTAAGCTGAGGTTCTGCAGGTTTTCAGTTCACTGGTAGATCTTTTTTCCCAATAACATATTTTTTCTCTCTCCTTACTTAATAGGATCTCCAAGATTGTACACATACATTTTCATAATCTTGTTTGGTTCTTTTTCCACAGCCTGGTGAAGCTGAAGATGCAGCTGAATGCAGAGGGGAAGATTCCTGTCAGGAAGTGAGTGTGGATGTTTGTTTTATTGTGTGTTCACTCAGACTAGAGGCAGAGCAGGTGGTAAGAGGATGGTTCCCAGTGGCTTCAACCGCCTGTTTTTCCTGCATCTAAGAGGTAGAGATCATTCCCTCTCGATTGAGGCCATGGAAGGGCTCCTGCTGCACCTTGGTTCCTCCCCAGGACCTGGCACATAATTTGGGTCAGGGACATAATTTGGGAAATGGGACTTTGGCCTTCATTTACAGCAAGAAATGGCCTTAAACAGCCATAGATCTCACTTCCCGGCTGTTGCCAACAAATAATCAACAAAACCAAACAGCTCTGGTAAAATTCTGATCACAGATTGTTTTGCAAATCTGAGTTGATACCTGGATGAGGTGTAGGATCAGTTTGCCTTTCCTGTGAGGAGTTCTGGGTTTGGAGAGCTCTTTGCTGGGCTCCCCAGCTCGCCTGAAGTGGGGCTCACTTGCTTTCATTTGTCTCCTTTTCTCCCGTGTGACCACTCCAGCTCTTCTCCACCGGTCCTTCTCCACTTCTGCCATCCCTCAGCCTGCAGGATATACATAAATTACCTTTTGTTTAAGAATAAGGAGCTGCAGACAGAGCATTTGGGAGGTTTTGAACGGCTCTGCTTTAGGGCTGAGCTGTGTCACAGCATCACAAAGGCGGGCACTGATCACCCCTAATAAACACCCTCCCCGGGGGGTGCTGTGTGGCAGAAGGTGCTGGATTAGGGCTGTGCTGGCTGATTGGGCCCCTGGACGGCTGAGCTTTATTCAACACGAAACATTTGCTGTTATTTGTTTTCTAAACCACCTACCAGCAGAATTTCATTCTGTCGGAAACCAGCGTATTCATCAAAGGGCTGTTAAAAATGTATAGGTCTATAATGAATAACACACTAGGGAAGAGTGCTTTGAATTGATCTTTAATATGCAAGCCAGGGTAGCGTTGCTGCAGGGGGAACCGGCTTATTCCTCTGAAACAACGAGAAAGAATATCTGGTACAGGCTGTACCTCTCCTCAGTGCCCATTTCCTGCAGAATGGTAACAATTCAGGCCATTAAATAGTCCAGACTAAGAGCCAGACTTATAAAAATACTCAGTATCTCCAGGTGCAGATAAATGTAAGGCTTTCAAAACTCCGTGTCTGAATTATTCTGAAAATTCCACGAGCATCTGCCTTTCTCTTTAGACATGTAAATCCCTTTGGAATCATGCCAGGGCTGCTTCAGTTTTGCCTTGCAAAGGGCACTGGGTTTGCATGAGCTCCTGCGGCCCCCCCAGCGCTCCCACCTGGCAGCACAGGGCACTCCCTGGTCCCTGTTTGCCTGTGAGCACCGGGGATGCCGGGAGCTTAAGAGAGCTGAGCCTCAGTTTGTCCACGGGGGAGAGCACAGTGCTGCTGCCTGGGATGGTCTGAAATGAGGGAGGGTTCAGTTCTTGTTCCTGCTCCACACTGCAGCTGCTTTAAGCTGAAGGTTTGACCCAGGGAATTGTGTCCTGCAGACCAGTCCCAGCTTTCCCTACTGGAAAGGAGCTTTGGTTCCTGCAGTAGTCGTGTAGTATCCTAGTCTCTGCCTGTGCAATGAGTTTGTTCCTTGAATTCACGGAAAGCCTCTGGTTCCAGAAAACGTTGCCTTCTTTCAAAGCAGCAAACGTGCAGAACGTTTGTTTGGAGTTTTTGAATGTTGCCTTGACTACAGAGCAATTCCCTGCCAGTGCCAGCTCCCACGGGGGATAGTGTCTGGTGGGTGGAAGTGTCCTGGGAATTGGTGACATGAGGTCTGCTGCCACAGGGAGCACCCCCAAGAGGGTGGGACAGGGATTTTAAGAGTCACAGGGCTCTTACAGAGTCCATAGCAGAAATACAGAACTTCTGCATTAGATCAGCAGTCGGAAACCCTCTGTAGGTTTATCAGACTCGGTACCTCCCTTACTCCCTTGGAGAAACAGTATCTGTCTGCCCTGGTCCATCAGCCTCCCTCACTGTGCATTTGGAGTGTCCTGCAGCCCCAGCCTTCCTGCCCTCTTTGCTGCTCCATTGTGATCCTTGTCCTCCCCATCAGTATTTTTCAGATGTTCCCTGCAGACAGGAAGAGGGTGGAAGCAGCACTAAGTGCTTGTCACCTCCCAAAGGGCAAGGTAAGGGTTTCTCTGGGTACCCAGAGGTCTTGCTGGCTTGAGAGGGATCCTTTTGCCTGCCCTGACTGTGGTGCCCTTGGGTGTGAAAAACCACCAGCCCAGATGCTCTCAGATGCTGTGAAACCTTTTCTTTACCACTGCCAGGCCTTAACTGCAGCCTGCTGGGGTCAGTTCTGGCTGTATTCCAGGAACACTTGCACTGGGTGGCACAGGGAGCAGCAGCACCCGGGCAGATGTTCCAGTCACTTGTGTTGGCCCAAGGAAGTGTTAAGGAGAGGTTTGTGGTCCTGACACATCCTCTCTGTGTTCTCAGAATGATGCCATCAACCCAGAGGACTTCCCGGAGCCCGTGTACAAGACTTTCCTGATGAATCTGTGTCCCCGACCCGAGATCGATGAGATATTCACCTCACAGTGAGTTCCCCTCAAACCACAGCCCAGAACTGGAGCTCCTGTGGCAACAGATAGACAGAAAGGGGGGGATTTAATCCCATGTGGTTTGTCTGGTCTGAAGCCTCAGAAGGGCAGGAACAGGGTCACTCAATACCTTCACTCCCAGCCTGGACAGAAAGGATGAGACCTCCCTGTGCTGTGGAGACCCTGAATTGTCCCCAGCAGGAGAGCTGAGCCCAGGTCAGCACTAGGTCATGCCCATGTGACACTGCTTGTGGCCAGCCTCAAACGGAGGCAGTGTGAGAACCACAGTTCTCACAAGTACCCAGGGGCCTTTTGCTTTTCAAGTACCTAAATCTGTGACTTCTTACATGGACTTGATTTTACAGGGCAGGCAGTGAATGCTCTGAAATTCAGGTCTTTTTAGGGTTCAGGTTAGAGCCTCAAAATATGCTTTATCTTCCCCTCAGTACAAGGTGTTCCCAGTATGGAATTATGAGGAAGAAGAAAGGGCACAGTGGGAAGCATCATTTACAGAAAGAAATGTGGACAAAGCAGAAATGTGTGGGCCCAGGGAGGGGGACCCCACTGCTAACCTAGGGAATGACCAATCTCTCTCCTGTGAAGAGGTTTCCTGGGTAATTCCCAGGCCTTACCTCTGCGATTCTCTCCCCACAGCCATCTAAAAGCAAAGCCCTACATGACCAAAGAGCACCTGGCCAAGTTTATCAACAAGAAGCAGCGAGACTCCCGCCTCAACGACAGCCTGTTCCCTCCAGCCAGACCCGAGCAGGTGCAGAGCCTCATCGAGAAGTACGAGCCCAGCGGGATCAACATCCAGAGAGGTGAGTCTGCCTCAGCCCAGAGGTCCTGCTCTGGAGCTGGGGTGGAAGAGCAGAGCATCTTGTACCTTCTGCCATCCTGCTTCCCAGGGGAGCAGGCAACCTGGCTCCCACATCTCCCTGTGCTGAGGTGCCTCAGCAGGGAGGTGCCAGATCCGTTCTGTGTGGGCACCGCTGCCAGCTCTGTTTTCCATGCAGGGCAGCTCTCTCCAGAGGGGATGGTCTGGTTCCTCTGTGGCCCTGAGAACAACGTGGTCGCTCTGGACAAGCTGCTGCTGTACCAGGACATGACCCAGCCCCTCTCACACTACTTCATCAATTCCTCACACAACACCTATCTCACAGGTACGGGCCGTTCCCGAGGGAGGCACCATCCCAGGGAGGGAGGGATGGATGGATGGCACGGGCAGTGGGGTTTGGGGGGCTGAGGTCTGGGGTGGGCTCTGAACACTGTGTGAGGAGAAGTGTCACCCTCTGCCTGCAGACCTCTTGCTGGGGGCTGGCAGAGGTTCCTGCTGCTCCTGTCCATGTGAGGAGTTAAGGCTGAGCCTGTCTCCCACAGCTGGGCAGTTCTCCGGGATCTCCTCTCCCGAGATGTACCGGCAGGCGCTCCTGGCCGGCTGCCGCTGCGTGGAGCTGGACTGCTGGAAGGGCCGGCCCCCGGACGAGGAGCCCATCATCACCCACGGCTTCACCATGACCACAGAGATCCTCTTCAAGGTGGGGAGGGCCTTTCTCCAGGGATGCTTTCCCCTGCCCGGCTTCAGACAGGGGAGCTGCCAAAGGGATGGGCAGAGGGAGGAAAAGACTGATGGAGGTGGTGAGGGAATAATGTGTGGGGAGGAAAGGTGAACAGATGGGCACTAGGTTGGAGTTTGTGTGCGTTTTTGGAGCAGGAGGAGCAGAGAGGTGGATGGCTGGAGGAAGATGGATGACTAACCGAGGGAAGTGCGGGAAGTCAGGCGGAAGCCAAGGAGGGATGGCTGAGCAGATGTGTCTGTGATGGACAGCACAGGCTGGTGGATTTGTGGATAGGTGAACAAACAGGATGGCTGTTGGAAAGCACACAGTTCAAATGAGTGTATATTCTGGCGTGCAGCAGGTTTCTGTGGCTGAAAGCCTCACGTGGTGCCTTTTGGAGGAATAGGGTTCAGTTCCTTCCTAATGACCTGAGTGTTGCACTGTGTTCTGTGGGCAGCCGGCTCCCTGAGGATTCAGCTCCCAGGCTTTGGAAGCACAGCACAAAGTCTGCTTCTCCCTTGGCAATACTGGGCATTTTTCCACAGCTGACAGGTTACAGATCAATGCAGCACACTGATTTTTTCTGCACTTCTTTGCACAGCTGCTGCCAACAGGCAGAGGCACTGGAGATTCTTCTTATAGCTCTTTGTTTTTCTCCTGTCTTCCCCCCAGTTCCCACACTTCATTGTTACTAAAATATTTACGTCGGGGGGAAAAAAGCAACTAAACAAACCAGTCCTTAAGGTCAGAGGTATTGTCGTGTTTGGTGTCAGTAATTTCCCAAGCCCTGCAGTGTCACGGCTGCTTTTTGCACAGCAGTTCAGTGCACAGAGAACAGAAATAGTGGCAGCTGTAGCTGCTGTAATTGCAGAGTTCTGCTGCAGCCTGGGACTGTTCCTCAAGGAAATTATAACCTTTTAACACAGCATGTGCTGGGATTTGGTTTTACATAGTACATAATGATACACAACAGACCTTTCCCTCCACACCTCTCCCCCTGTTCTACTATTCCTGGGGCCTTTTAGTAGCTCTGTAACTTCTCCTCAGAGCGTTGAGATTCCTGTGGCAGACCAGAGTGGTCCATGGAGGAGCAGCTGTGGCAGCCTCCCTCCATTCTGAGGTCATGGCTGAACAAGGATTTGGGATGAGCAGGGACTGTAATTGCAAAGGAGCAAATGGTACTTCCTTGCCAATTAGCAGCACCAGAAGGGAAAACAGTGCATAGTTTGTGGCAGCTTAACGGGGACTTGGGAAAAATATGGTTATTTTTTCTTACATCATTAATGCTGAGAAGGTTTCCATGGTATTTGTATTTGAAATGTCAGCACAGCTGGTGACTGAGCACTCCAGCTTTCTGCTGCGAGGCAGAAGGGTTTTGGAAGCAGCTGAAACTATAGAAAATTGGGCAGGTTCAGAGGCAGGTATGGATAGGGTGTGACGTGGTTTAACCTGGTGCTGCACACACCTTTCTGTACCAGTTGAAGGTGCACAGGGCAGTGGTTTGGGGCAGGGGTTTGTCTCTGGCCAGACACTCTCACATTCAGTGCTGGATACACTGAGCTGTGTAGCAAAACCAAAGCCTCATCTTCCTACATCTTCAGCTGCATTTTTATTCAAGCTGTTGAGTTTAGCTGCAGGTTTTATGCCCTGGAGCTGGAAATCTGGGCAGGTGTGAAAAAGGTGACACCTCTCACCTTCCTACTGGGAGAAGTTCAGTGACTTTGAAGGGACGATCCTGATAATGACAATTCTGGAGTGTGTTCAGTGGGAGGGCAACTGTGTCTCTGTTATTAATGAGTGCTGAGCTCTGACCTTGGCCTTTCCCTCAGGATGCCATCGAGGCCATTGCAGAGAGTGCTTTTAAAACATCTCTGTACCCCGTGATCCTGTCCTTCGAGAACCACGTGGACTCGTGAGTACCCAGTGCTCGGGAGAACCGTGTTCTGTGTCCAGAGCAGAAAGGACACAGGCAAGGGCTGCTGGGTTTGAAGTGAGTGCTGAGCTGAAATAAAACACTGATTGAGGTTTCTGAAACAACTGGAGGTGGGTCAGAGCTGAAGGACGACCTGCAGAGTGGTGTGGCCACAACTGTGCATCCTCTCAGCTCAGGGTGGCACTGTGGGAACATGGGAGTTGGGCTGGGAATGGCACCTCAACGTCTGCACGGCTGAGCCAAGGCACTGGGTGGTTTCTGGGTACAGTACATGGATCTTGAGGTGGTGGCTCGTGCCAAGCTCTGGATTTGGGTGTCTCTCCCCCTGTTCACTCCTGCCTGGTCTCCTGCAGGCCCAAGCAGCAGGCGAAGATGGCCGAGTACTGCAGGACCATTTTTGGAGACATGCTGCTGACAGAGCCTCTGGAGAAACACCCGGTGAGGGGCAGCTGGGCAAGGAGGCCAGGGAGAGGCCTTCTGGAAAACTTGTCACTCCTGGTGCTGGGAGGTGCCACAACAGACAAAAGGACAGTGAAAGAGAACGTGATGCCGTGGACAAACAGTCCTGGTTCATAGGGATGGGTGGAGGACTGCCACAGGGGTTTTCCTGAGCACTCCTGGGACTCTGCTCTTGTTTAACACCCTGACCTGAGGGATTCTGGGCACTGAGCTCTGGTGGCCAAATTGTACCAGGGTACCACATGTGCTTTGTACACAGCACTGGTTCAGCTCTCTCTGCCAGCCTCTGCTTTGGAAATGGGAACAAGGGCCTGGAAATATTCCCTTGCAGGCATAGGTGGGCAGGGCAGTGCCAGGAATAGCTCAGTAAAGCTCCCCATCCGTTTGACCCCAGTGTTCAGCTGACCTGTACAGCAGGTATTTCTGTTGGCCCAGTGACACAGTGGTGTTGCAGCTGCTCTGCAGCTACAGGTGAAATCCTGGGGAAAATCTGCATGAATCTGGTGGGATATGTTGGCAGATAGGAAAGAAAGTGTCCAGTGGGGGAGAGATGTGTCCATGCAGCAGGAATTGGCCAGAGGGACAGGAGAGGGCAGTGTTTGAATTCTCCCTGTGATGAGGTTTATCTGTTGCAGCTGAAGCCAGGAGTTCCTCTGCCGAGTCCTAAGGACCTCTTAGGGAAAATCTTGATTAAGAATAAAAAGAACCAATCTGTATATGGGAAAAGGCAGAACTCTTTGAAGAAAGGGAAGAATGTGGAACCAGAAATCATCGAGCAGCCAACCCCTGTGGATGCTGAAGACACTGGTATGTCTGAAGGGAAGTGGGACTAGCAGAGCTAGAAGGGCAAAACCTTCCCAATCTCCCAATACCAACTTGGGGCATGCCAGCACTACTCCCTAATTCAGTTAAGCAGCAGCATAAGCTTGGAAGAGAAATTAAATCTTCAGAATATTTTCAACACTTACTGCAGCCAAAAGAGACCATGACTTACACCTTGCCTGCCATCCCTTGGTGATTCACTGATACCCACTGGCCCTTGGGTTGGGGGAAGGGGGTTGATGGGTTACTGCTTGTAGATCTCTGATGACCACAAATTCAGCACAGCTCACATTTCTCCACCCTGAGGGTCTTGGAAGTTTATAGATCCTTCAGCCCCTGTCTCCTCCCTTCCTGTCACCCCTTGGGCTCCAGGCCCCTGTGGGGGAACAGTCCTTGTCATGATATGAACACATGAAGTCATGAGAGGACAAGGGGGACACCTGGAAATGGGCATTTATTCTAAAAATACGTGTGACCTTGGTGGGAAAACAACCCTTTGATTGTCACTCCTGGGTGTGAGGGGAGTCCGCAGGAGGAGCACTTTGGTCTCCAGGGTGTGCTGATCCACAGTGTGCCAGTTCATATTTGGATTTGGCCGGTAAAGTTGTGGGATTCTGCCCCTCACTGCTGCTGATGACTTGGCTGTGAGGTTCTGCACCTGTCTCAGGGTCCTGCTGAGGTACCACTGATGTGGCCTCTGTGCTCAGTCTGGGCAGGTGACGTGGCTGAAGAGGAGCCAGAGGAGGAGGATGAACAGCTCGGAAACCTGGATGAAGAGGAAATTAAAAAGATGCAGTCAGATGAGGTACTGTCACTGCTGGTTCTCTTCCTTTTCTGTTTGGCTTCCAGTTTTCTCTGGGCCTCACCTGACTGAGTGGAGATTAACTCAAAATGCAAAGGGGAATGAACCTGAACCTGTCAGGGGCTTTCCTTCCCCTTTTGCAGGACTTTTGCAGGAGAAACTGAATAAGAGAAATTCTGTTGCAAGCACAGAGGAGCTGTGGCAGAGGAGCTCTTATTGCTGACTCTGCCTTTGACACTCCACGTGATTTGGAGATAACTGTTTGCCTCTGGGCTGTTGGAGAGGCTTAGCCTTGGTCTGATAGAAGTTGTTACTAAAAAAAGTGCTGTTGCTGAAGGGGGAGGGAGGAGATCAGCATTCCTGTGAATGAAAACATCCATTTCCCATTTCTATCTCCCTGGTATCCCTTGGAGAGGAGGGAAAATGGTGTCCCCAGTTTCTCCCAGGCTCCATGCTCTGAGGGGTTAAAGAAGTCCTGGGCTTTGTACCTCCTAACTGGAACCTCTCATGCGCCCCAGTTCAGTTCTTGCCCAGCTGCCTGGAAACTCCGTGCCCTGCCCACCACGGAGCTGTAGGACTGGGAAGCCAAACCGGAGCACTCTGGTCAGGGCAGCCCCTGGAGCTCTTCCCCTGGGAAGTCTTGGTGGGGTTTGTTTCCCCCCAAGGGAAGGTCTCTTCACACGTCTCCCCTGGGATGTTCCCGTGCAGGGCACGGCCGGCCTGGAGGTGACGGCGTACGAGGAGATGTCCAGCCTGGTGAACTACATCCAGCCCATCAAATTCGACTCCTTCGAGGTCTCTGCCCGTAAGTCCGGCTCGGTCCCTTGGGAATCCAGGCTGGGCGTTCCCTGGGCCCGTCGGTGCCCACAGCAGGACAGGGGCTGGGTGTGCCTTTCCTCTGATGCTTCGTCATCTCCTGCTTCCAGAGAAGAACCGCAGTTATGTCATCTCTTCCTTCACGGAGCTGAAGGCCTACGACCTCCTGAGCAAGTTCCCCGTGCAGTTTGTAGAGTATCCTTTTGGCAGCCCTTGTCCTGGGGGGCTTGGAGTGTCAGAGCTAAGCTGGATCTTGGGATTAGGCATATCCAAAGGGCTCCTGGTTCCCAGACCTGGTAGACTCTTCATCAGAGCTAGAAAGTGTGCAGGTGCTGGAGACATGGGATCTTCCAGGGTGGTTTGGGAGCTCTCCAGAGAGATTCCTGACAGGATGCATCCTGCAGTAGTCAATGTCAAGGCTGCCAGATGCTTGTCCTTAAGTGGGAAGGGTATGGAAAAGGAGCCTGGGCCTGCCTGAGCTCTTGTCTGGAAGGCTCTGAGTGTTTGGTAGCAGAGGTTAAACAGTTATAATGGGAACGTGTGGGCTGGTCCCAGGGCACACCGGGAACACTCCAGACTTGTTTCCTATGGAGCCCCCGCAGATACAACAAGCGGCAGATGAGCCGGATTTACCCCAAAGGCACCCGGATGGACTCGTCCAACTACCTGCCCCAGATGTTCTGGAACGTCGGCTGCCAGATGGTGGCACTCAACTTCCAGACCATGGGTGAGTGTCGAGGGTCCTCCAGCCACCAGCTGGGTGAGGATGGGCGCTCCTGGTCCCTGGGGTGCTCCTGATCCTCAGGTGCTCCTGATTTCCAGGTACTCCTTGTCCCTGGGGTGTTCCTGATCCCCAGGTGCTCCTGGTCACTCTCTCTTCCTTCACTGCTGTTTCCCTGATGTGTTATTTATTCCAAGTGCCTTCTCCCAAGTGCTGTTCTCCACTGGGTCCATCTGCCCCAGCAGTACTTTTCCATGTCCAGCACACCCCCACATCCCCCAGGGAGTGCTGTCACCTGTGTCCAGGCACTGTCCCCAGTGTCCCATTCCACGATGTCCCACTGAATCACATCCCTGAACACACCTGCAGCCCTCTGCCTGAATTGCTGTCCCTTTACCAGGCAGAGATGCAGCTCCCTCTGGCCACAGCACTGGCTGTGCCACTGTGTCCAGGATTTTGACCTGAACAGGGAGCAAGGGCCTTTCCTTGCTGCACAGCCAGCATGAGAAAGAAAGAAAAGCCTCCAGAGAAAGCTATTCCTTACCCCTCTTCCTTCCTTGGAGGTGTGTGTTACGTATAGAGAGTGTAGGAGACAAAAAGGAAGTGACTTGGAAAGGGGGCGAGTGAGAGGCTGGTTCTGGGGGGATGGCACAGTGCAGGCTGGTGCAGAAACCACCAGACAGTGTCCTCAAGTGTCAGAGAGAAGATGGACTCAGGAGGCCCAAAATGAAAGGGGGAAGGAGTTGAGGGGCTCAGGCAGTTACTTATCAGTGCCCAAAAGCAGCGAGTGCTCCTTAAAGTAGGTTTGACTTCAGTTCTGCCCGTGCCTTACAGTGCAGGCGTAAGCAAACCACTTCCCTTCGTGCAGCAGCTGCTCTCATGTTTTTCCCTGTGGGGTGCTGAGAGGCCTCATCAGTTTGTGGGGTGGCTTTGTGAGCCGTGGCTGGCAGGGGCCGGGGGCTCCCTGGTGGCACAGGGGTCCCTGTCCCAGCCCCGCGTCTCAGGGTGTGGCTCTGCCCACAGACGTGCCCATGCAGCAGAACATGGCCCTGTTTGAGTTCAACGGGCAGTGTGGGTACCTGCTCAAGCACGAGTTCCTGCGCCGCCCCGACAAGCACTTCGACCCCTTCTCCCTGGACCGCATGGACGTGGTGGTGGCCAGCACCCTGTCGGTCACGGCAAGTACAGCCCTCTGTGCCACCCGGGGGGCTCCTGGGGCACAGGAACCCGGGTGGTGCCCGGGATGGTGCTGCCGTGGCAACCCCCGGGCTTGTTTCCATTTTAAATTAATCATAATCACGTGAAAATGGAAAAGGAGCATCTGCCACGCAGGAGCAGCCAAGGCTGGGATGGTGGGGAGGGAGGAGGTGCTGAAGCAAGAAACAGGGGTGGAGGTAAAAGCTGGAGCAGAAAAACAGACTCTGGGGTGAAGGAACAGGCGGGAGTTTCATTCTCTTCAGCAGTTGCTGACTCTGTTTCTCCTGATCACAGATACTCTCTGGTCAGTTCCTCTCGGAGCGCAGCGTCAGGACCTACGTGGAAGTGGAGCTCTTTGGGTTGCCAAGGGACACCAAACGCAAATACAGAACCAAACTGACCTCCACGGCCAACTCCATTAACCCCGTGTGGAAGGAGGAGGCTTTTGTTTTTGAAAAGGTGAGAACATTTGAGAGTAATTTAGACAGAAAATCCTTAAAGCTCCCTTTGGCCACAAGCACTGCCCTGGGAGAGGTCAGTGACAGCAGAAGGGACTTCTCTCTGCAGACCCCAGGCCTGGCTTTGGGCAGGCTCAGACAACACCCAAACAACAATATCCAAAACAACTCTCCGTCACTATTTCCCAGAACAGACGAGGGGTAGCTGGAATTGCGTGGTTGGAAGGAGAAGGGAGTAAAGCTCTCCTTGGAGGAGGAGGAGGATGCTGTCAGGAGTTAGAGGTGAGGGCACTGGTGCCTTACTCTGCTTTTCTCTTAGATCATGATGCCTGAGTTGGCCTCTCTGAAAATCGTGGCTTGGGAAGAAGGAGGGAAGTTCATTGGCCATCGTATCATTCCCGTCATTGCAATGCACTCAGGTAAACCTGTGGAAATCCCTTTGGCTTTTGTGCCCTTGGGAGCTGTAAAGAAGATACAAACAGCTGCATGTTTGGCTCCTTAATGTCCACTCCTGCAGGCAGTGCAGTCATCCTGTTAGTGCCTTGGCTCAGTGCCAGTATATCCTGCCTGTGCCCTCCTGGAAAGAGGGACTTCGTGTGGCAGCTGGAGGGCCAGGACTGTGCCAGCCCAGCTCAGTGCTCTGCTCTGTCCCAGGGTACCACCACGTGTGCCTGCGCAGCGAGAGCAACATGCCCCTCACCATGCCCTCCCTCTTCGTGTTCCTGGAGGTCAAGGACTACGTGCCGGACGCTTGGGCAGGTAAGGACATGTTGGAATGTGCGGGGCGGGGGCTCTGCCTTTGTCCAAACTCTGATCCAGAAGTGTTTTCCCAGCCCAGGGAGTGCTTTCCTGCTGCACCCTTCATTCCTGTCAGGGTGGGACTGAGCACGTGCCAGGATCCCGCCCCATCCCCGCTGCTGTGGGAGGAGCGTGGATGCTCCCACTGCAGCTGTGCCTGAGTCCCACCTGAGGGGGTCAGTCCTACTGTTCCTCAGAGCCAGGGAGAGCTTTCCTTGAGGGAAGAGGTGACAGCTCTCGGGGGCTGGCAAGAACAGGGCTTTTAGGGAGCACAGGAATGTTGTTCTTCCCTGTGGGAAGAGAAGGGAGGTTCTTGCTCGTACTGAGGTACAGACCCTTTGAAAAGGGTCAGACAGAGCTGCACGAGGACAGAAGCCCTACTGGAGGGATCAACATTCGTGACCAAAACCACACTGAAAGTAACAGCATCAGCCACACAGCTTCCTGTGAATACTTCTCACGTTTGCTCCCTCCTCCTCTGTGTTCATACAAATAAACCTTTTTCACTGGGGAAATCCTGAGAAATTGATGGGTTTAACACATTTTTATAAAAACCACAAGTTTATACAGCATTAGACTGGAATTGGAGCAGGGAACTGTGCAGGCGAGGAAAGTCTGAACCTGGCTTTGGATTTTGGGAGCAGAGTTGTGAGCCATGTCCTCAGCATAGGACTGAGGTGAGGGTGATCCCCTCCCTTTGTGCTGTCAGGGGGAAGCTTGTTCCAAGCAGAGAACACAAACTGGCCCTTCTCCACAGTGTCCTGTCCTGGGCAGGGAAAATGAGTCCATGAGTTGTTTGCTGCCCAAGCCAAGCCCTCTGTCTGATTCCAGATCTCACCATTGCCCTCTCCAACCCCATCAAGTTCTTCAACATGCAGGACAAGCGCTCTGTGAAGCTCAAGGATGCTGCAGGGGAGGTGAGTTCTTCCAGGTTCTGTTCTCTAGAGCACCTTGCATGAATTCAGCCTGGAATAAAAAGCCTTCATTTACCTCTGATCTCTGTTTTAGAGGCCTGGCACACAGTGGAACATCCCATCTGCTGAGACTAATGGGGTGCCAGACTCTGCTGGGAAACGCAGCATTCCTCCCTCCAATGGCTCCACAGGTAAGTTTCCAAGAGCTTCCAAGTACTTTAACATCTTGGCAGCTTAATTAACTCCTCACACCAAAATCCTTCACATGGCCTGTGCTCTGGTGAGCTCTCCACTGTCCCTTTCCAACCTCTGAACATCCAAGATGGGACATTAACAGGAGCCTCTTTTGGGATTTCAGGAGCAGCGGCGTTCGCCAGGAATGAAACCGTGTTAGAAGTGATGCAGATGGCAGGTAACTCCCTGTGCTGTTCACCTGAGCTGAGGCCCTGTCAGTCATCTTGTATTCCCAAAGTAGAAAGACCTGCCCCAGCCCTGCCTGGTGTAGCCAGCGCTAAAGACAAATCCCAGGAATCTTGAGGCTCTGGGTTCCCTTCAGCACACCTGCACCATCTGTACGATGTGTGGGTCACCTGTGTCTGACTGTGGCGTGATACAAATCCCTGCAAACACGGGGCCTAATTATGCCACAAAACTGATCTGAAGGCACGAGAGGAAATCTGCTCTGCCCAGGATATGTTGCCAAGTAACTGTTATGTACCTTAAGTTTTGCTTTTAGAAGTTATTCCTGAAGGGAGCTGTTCCCCAGGACAGAACACGGTACCTGGTGAGGGGCATCCCAGGTGTGGAGCAGAAGGACTCTGGTTGGAACGGGCACTGAGGGACGTGTGTTGGAGCTGTTTGCTCCCGTTTGCCCAGGCCAAGCCCTGGGAAGGAGCTGGCCCTGCTCAGCACAGTTGTGCTGCAGACACACCTGCATGTTCTGCTCCATTTTACACATTCCAAGTCCCAAAAGAGTTACTTCCCCTGAGCAGATAATTCTCTGTGGCCTGAGAGCAATGTTGGCCATCCCCATGCCCCCATCCGTCAGGGGCAGGGAAAGAGGGAGGAAAAGGAACGAAGGCAGTGCTGAAACCACCTGTGTGACCCCAGAGGGTTTGGCAACAGGTGGAGAAATGCTGTGGGACAGCAAACATCCTCTGTTTTGTGTTTCAGAGCCTGAGACAGCCACCCTGGCTGAGCTGCAGCAGATGAAGCGCTTCCTGAAGCTGCTGAAGAGGCAGGAGAAGGAGCTGAGGGAGCTGGAGCAGAAGGGAAGCAAACGGAAGGAGGAGCTGCTGCAGAAATACTCTGTGCTCTTCTCAGAGTCCATCTGCCACGAGGGCAAGAAAAGCATGATCCACATGAGGAAAACCCAGAAGAAAAGGTAAATACAGCCCAGGGGTCACCTCCCCAAACCAAAACAGGGATCCCCGAGAGAAACATGGGCTCCCCTTCTCTGAAGGAAGATGGAGCATCCGTATGTCCCTGGGCTGTTCCCATGGGAGTGGGTGGGGAGGCTGGGATTGTATTGGCAGGGCCAGAAGCAGCACAGCCCTGAATGTGTTGTGCAGGAGTGTGACCCAGGGTGCCGTTGGTACCTGTGCAAATCCCGTGGAAGTGGCGGAGAGCGTGGATCGCCGGCTCCTGGAGCTGAGGGAGAGGCTGGAGCTGGACCTCGTGCACCTGGGGCAGGAGCACCACGAGGGCATCCGGAGGAAGAAGGAGCAGCACGCCACGGAGGTGAGGCTGCAGGGGCCACCAAAAAAGGGATCCTAGGACAGCCCCTCGCTGGAAAACTGAAGGCAATGTAGGAGTAGTACAGGGAGTCAGTTGACCTACTCCAGGAAAAAAATCAAATTGGGTAATTCTTCAAGAGGAGGTCCATGTTGCTGGTTTGGTTTTTTCCTGGACTTTCCTAAGAGAATGGTTTTAAAATAAGTAAACAAGATTCAGTTTCTTTCTGAGAACATTTTAAGGAATACAGTTAAAAATGAAAATCTAAATAATCAGAAGAAAAAAAACCTCAGCCACGTACTACTTCACCTCATTCTTTTTTAAAAATGACTTACCTCCCTTGATGTTTCTTGTGATCTTTCCTAAAGGAACTTCTCTAGAAAACCTACATTGATGAACCCCAGAACTAAATTTGTGGAAAAAGTGACTCCTCCTGTGGAAGGAGAGTTCATGCTTTCGAGGTTGAATGCACAGCAAAAAAAAAAAAATTATAATTTTTCTTTGTTAATGTAATTTGGGGTGTTTTTGAGAGGTTTTTTTTGAAGAAAACCTGTACTTGAATGTTTTCCACATAGTACTAAGTCCCATCTCACCTGGTCAATTCAGCAAGCCTTTAGGAGTGAATACATTGAGTATCTTTCACAGAACTGGTATATAAACAAAGTTTTAGTTTGCCAGAATTTTTTATCAGATTTTCATTTTTTATTTCACGTCAAAAACAAGTTTAGGATTTTCCCAGATATCATCTTAAACACCGGGTAATTCAGTTTAAAAATCGTATATTTTTATTTGCTCCCTTTTGATGTTGTTTTCCTCCCTTGACCAGCAAGTTGCCAGGATCCTGGAGCTGGCCAGGGAGAGGCAGGGAGCCGAGCTGCGGGCGCTGCGGGACACGGCGGAGAGGTAAACACGGCCCTGGGAGCCCAACCAGTGCCCAGCTCTGCCTGGGAGGGCAGGGAACGGGAGCATTTCCCTTCCTCCACTCCAAGGTGTGAGTGACATCACGGCAGAGAAATGCATAGATGCTGGAGGATAGACTGGAAACTGGGAAGGTGGAGGAGGGGAAAAACTCCTGTATGCTTGTTCTTTTTTACACTTCCCTTCAGCATCTGCTGCTTCCACTGTTGGGGGCAGGACTCTGACTTTTTTGGGAGGAATCTTTGTTAGGAACCCCTTAAAAAAACAGACAAACAAACAGAAAAAGCTTAAATAGGACGTAAACTATTCTTCAGCCTTCAGGCCTTCTGCTGCCTGACCCCTCGCTCCAGAGGGATGGGATGGAGGGCTGCTCCCGTGCTGGTGCCCAGGCCTGTCTCTCCTCTCTCTCCACAGCAATGTCAAGGACATCAAGAAGCGGCTGGAGGCGAGGAGGGTGGAGCGGATCCAGGCCCTGCTGAGGAACACCAGCGACAAGGCTGCCCAGGAGAGGTGCCGGCTGCTCCCGGGCTGTGTCCGTGTGGGATGCAGGGCCTGCTGCTGCCCGGGGAGCTGAAGGAGTAGAATTCTGCATCCAGTTCTCTGCCTTATGTCTCAGACACCTTGAAACGATGTTTTATGTGTCTTTCCTAAGTTGCAGCGGGTTCTCCGTGTGTCAGGACACGGTGGGGATGTAGCACCCATGTGGATGGGTGTGGCACGGATCCGTAGGGACGAGGGGTGTGATGGGAACAGAACAGCCGGGTCACAGGTGTCTGTGCTTCCCTTCAAAGGTCCAAGAAGGAAATCAACAACTCCCACATCCAGGAGGTGGTGCAGACCATCAAACGGGTGAGTTCACAGGGGGCCCTGGGGGCATGGGAGGGTCGGGAACGATGGGAAAGCCTGGCAGGAGCACGGACACCCCGAGCACGTCGGAGCTGCCCTTCGGAGACCCAAAGCTAAGTCCGTGTCTGTGTGTCTGTCTGTGACACGCGGTGTCTGTCTGTGGGTGTGTCCCTGCTGTCCCTGGGGGTCTGTGCGTGTCCGTGTGTGTTTGTGTCCGTCTGTGTCCCTGTGTCTGTATGTCTGTGTGTCCATCTGTGTCCATCTGTGTCCATGTTTTCTGTGTGTTCTTGTCTGTGTATCTGTGTCCATATGTCCATCTCTGCGTCCGTGTGTCCATCTCTGTGTGTGTCCATGTGTCTTTGTCCATTTGTCCAGCTGGGTGTCCATGTGTCCATCTGTATGTCCATCTGTCTGTGTCTGTGTCTGTCTGCGTCTGTGTGTCCGTCTGTGTGTCCATGTCTCTGTCCGTGTTGGTGAGTCCCCGTGTCTGTCCGTGTGTCGTCTGTGGGTCTGTTTGTTCCTGTGTCCGTCTGTCTGTGTGTCAGTCTGTGTGTCCATGTGTTGGTGCGTCCATCTGTCTGTGTATCTGTTCCTGTGTCTGTCTGTCCATATGTCTGTCCATGTGTCTCTATGGTCTACCCATGTCTGTCTGTCGTGTCTGTCTGTGTGTCCGTGTGTGTCCCTGTGTCTGCCTGTGTCTGTGTATCTGTGTCTTTCTGTCTGACTCTGTCCATGTGTCTGTCTGTCCGTCTGTCTCTGCATCTGTCTGTGTGTCCGTCTGTCTGTATATCTGTCTCTCTGTGTGTCCTTCTGTCTTCCCTGTGTTTGTCTCTCTGTCCATCAGTCCGTGTGTCCTTCTGTCTCTCCGTTTCTCCGTCTTTGTGTCCGTCCGTCTGTCTGACCCTGTGTCCGTCTGTCTGTCCATTTGTCCATCTGTCTCTGTGTCTGTCTGTTCTTCTGTCCATGTGTCCATCTGCCTGTACGTTTGTCTGTCCATCTGTCTGTCCGTGTGTCTGTCTTTCCATTTGTCTGTCTGTGTGTCCATCCCTGTGTCTGTCTGTCCGTATGTCCATCTGCCTGTCCCTGTGTCTGTGTACCTGTCCATGTATCCGTGTGTCTGTCTCTCTGTGCGTCTGTCCATGTGTCCATTTCTCTGTCCATGTGGCTGTGTGGCTGTTTGTCCGTGTGTCCATGTGTCTGTCTGCGTGTCAGTTTGTCTGTGTGTCAGTCCCTCTGTCTGTCCATGTGTGTGTCCGTGTGTCTGTTTGTCTGTGTGTCTGTCCATGCAGCTCCCTGTGTGTCCCTGAGTCCATGTGTGTCTGTCCATGTGTCCATCTGTTGTTGTGTCTGTGTGTCTGTGTCCATTTGTTTGTGTGTCTGAGTGTCTGTCTGTCTGTGTGTCTGTATGTCCATGTGTGTGTCTGTCCATCTGTCTGTCCCTGTGTTCGTCTGTCCGTCTGTCTATCCATGTGTCCAGCTGTCTGTCTGTGTTTCTGTCTGTCTGTCAGTCCATTTGTCCATCTGTCCGTTTGCTTATTCATCCGTCTTTGTGTCCATCCATCTGTCTGTCCAAGTCTGCATCTGTCCCTGTGTCCATCCATCTCTCTCTTTGTCCGTGTGGCCATCTGTCTATCCGTCTGTCCATGTATCTGTCTGTCCGTCTGTCCGTGTTTCTGTGTGTCCATCCATCCATACGTCCATCTGTCCCTGTGTCCCTCTGTCCATCCGTGTTTCTGTCTATCTGTACATGTGTCCGTCCCTCTGTCCGTTTGTCTGTTCATCCGTTTGTCTGTGTGTCCGTCTGTTTCTCTGTCCAGTCCATGTGTCCATCTGTCTCTCTGTTTCTCCGTCTGTGTGTCTGTCCCTGTGTCTGTCTCCGTGTGTCCCTCTGGTTGTCTGTCCGTCTGTCTGTCCGTGTGTCCATCTCTCTGTCCATCTGTACGTGTGTCTGTCTGTCAGTTTGTTCATCCATCTGTTTGTGTGTCCCTCTGTTTCTCCATCTGTCCCTTTGTCTATCTGTCTGTCCCTGTGTCTGTCGGTCCGTCCATGTTTCTGTCAGTCTGTCCATTTGTCTGTTTGTCTGCCCGTGTGTCCATCTGTCCATGTTTCTGTCTGTCTGTCACTTCATTTGTCCATCTGTCTGTGTGTCCACCCATCTGTATGTCCATCCATCTGTCTGTCTGTCCGTCCATCTGTCAGTGTGTCTCCTTGTCCCTGTTTCCATCTGTCTGGCCATGTTTCCGTCCGTCTGTCTGCATATCCATCCATTTGTCTATGTGTCTGTCTGTCTGTCCAAGCCTCCATCTGTCTGTCCATTTGTCCATCTGTGTTTGTCTGTCTGTCCCTGTGTCTGTCAGTTGTGTGTCCATCCGTCAGTGTGTCAGTTTGTCTGTCTCTGTATCTGTCTGCATGTCCATCTGTCTTGTCTGTCCCTGTTTCCATCCGTCTGTCCATGTGTCCGTCTGTCTGTCCCTCTGTCCATCTGTCTGTCTGTCCATGTTTCTGTCAGTCTGTCCCTCTGTGCCTGTGTCCCTCTGTCCGTCCATTTGTCCATCTGTCTGTTGGTCTGTCTGTTTGTCTGTCTGTCCCTGTGTCTGTCTGTCCGTGTGTCCAGCTGTCAGTCTGCCTATCTGTTCCTAAATCCATCTGTGTGTCCATCTCTCTGTGTCCAGCTGTCTGTCCATCTGTGTGTCCCTCCGCCCATCTGTCTGTCCCTGTGTCCGTTTTTCTGTCCATCCGTGTGTCCGTCTGTCCGTGTGTCCCTCTGTCTGTCAGTCTGTCCATCTGTCTGTCCCTGTGTCCATCTCTCTGTCCATCTGTCTGTGTGTCCATTTGTCTGTCCCTGTTTCCATACGTCTGTCCATGTGTCCAGCTAGCTGTCTGTGTTTCCGTCTGTCTGTCCACATCTCCGTGTGTCTGTCCCTGTGTCCATCTGTCTGTCCGTTTGTCTGTTCATCCATCTGTTTGTCTGTGTGTCCATCTGTCCATTCCTGTGTCCATCTGTTGGTTCTGTGTCCATATGTCTGTCTGTCTGTCCATCTGTCAGTGTGTCAGTTTGTCTGTCCGTGTGTCCAGCTGTCAGTCTGCCTATCTGTTCCTAAATCCATCTGTGTGTCCATCTCTCTGTGTCCAGCTGTCTGTCCATCTGTGTGTCCCTCCGCCCATCTGTCTGTCCCTGTGTCCGTTTTTCTGTCCATCCGTGTGTCCGTCTGTCCGTGTGTCCCTCTGTCTGTCAGTCTGTCCATCTGTCTGTCCCTGTGTCCATCTCTCTGTCCATCTGTCTGTGTGTCCATTTGTCTGTCCCTGTTTCCATACGTCTGTCCATGTGTCCAGCTAGCTGTCTGTGTTTCCGTCTGTCTGTCCACATCTCCGTGTGTCTGTCCCTGTGTCCATCTGTCTGTCCGTTTGTCTGTTCATCCATCTGTTTGTCTGTGTGTCCATCTGTCCATTCCTGTGTCCATCTGTTGGTTCTGTGTCCATATGTCTGTCTGTCTGTCCATCTGTCAGTGTGTCAGTTTGTCTGTCTGTCCCTGTGTCCGTCCATCTGTCCGTCTCTCTGTCTGTGTGTCCATGTTTCTGTCTGTCAGTCCATTTGTCTGTCCCTCTGTCTATTCATCTGTCTGTCTGCCCACGTGTCCATCTGTTTGTCTGTCTGTGTTTCTGTCTGTCAGTCTGTCCATCTGTCTGTCCCTGTGTGTGTCTGTTCATGTCTGTATCTTTTTCCATCTGTCTGTCTCTCTGTCTGTCCATCTGTCCCTCTGTCTGTCTGTCCGTGTGTCTGTCCATTGGCACCTGTGTCCATCTGTCTGTCTCTCTGTCCATCAGTTTGTATGTCGGTCTGTCTTTCCATTTCTCCATCTGTCCGTCCCCCTGTCCATCTGTCCATCTGTCCATGTGTCCCTCTGTCTGTCAATCCATTTGTCTGTCTGTCCATTTCTCTGTTCATCCGTCTGTCTGTGTTTCCCTCTGTCAGTTTGTCCATCTGTCCAAGTCTCCGTCTCTCTGTCCCTGCATCCATCTGTCCATCCCTGTCTGTCTGTCTGTGTTTCCATCTGTCTGTCCGTCTGTCTGTGTGTCCGTTTGTCTGTCCATTTCCGTCTGTCTGTCCCTGTGTCCATCTGTCTGTCTATGTGTCCAGCTGTCTGTCCGTGTGCCTGTCTGTCCATGTTTCTGTCTGTCAGTCCATTTGTCTGTCTGTCCGTGTGTCTGTCTGTTTTTCCGTCTGTCTGTCCCTGTGTCCATCTGTCCGTCCGTTTGTCTGTTCATGTCTCTGTCTGTCTGTGTGGCCATCTGTCTGTCTGTCTGTTCCTTTGTCTGTCTGTCCCTGTGTCCATCCATCTGTCCGTGTGTCCAACTGTCTGTCTGTGTTTCCGTCTGTCTGTCTGTCCAAGTCTCCATCTGTGTGTCCGTCTGTCTGTCTGTCCATGTGTCTGTCTGTCCGTTTGTCTGTTCATCCATCTGCCTGTGTGTCCAGCTGTCTGTCTGTATTTCCATCTGTTAGTCTGTCCATCCCTGTGTCCATCTGTCTGCCTGTTTGTCAGTCTGTCCGTCTGTCCCTGTGTCCCTCTGTCTGTGTGTCTGTCCATGTGTCCCTCTGTCTGTCTGTCTGTCCATGTGTCCAGCTGTCTGTCCATGTTTCCGTCAGTCTGCCTGTCTGTCTCTACGTCCATCTGTGTCCATTTGTCTCTCTGTGTGTCCATCCATCCCTTAGTCCGTCTGTCCATCAACGTCTGTCCCTGTGTCTGTCTGTTCTGTGTCCATCTGTCTGTCCCTGTTTCCATCTCTCTGTCCCTGTGTCAGTCTGTCCCTGTTTCCATCTGTCTGTCCCTCTGTCTGTATGTTCGTTTGTCTGTCTGTCCCTGTGTCTGTCCATCTGTCCATGTGTCTGTCCCCACGTCCATCCGTTTGTCTGTTCATGTGTCTGTCTGTCTGTGTGTCCATCTGTCTGTCCATGATTCCATCTGTCTGTCAGACCATTTGTCTGTCTGTTCATCCATCCGTCTGTGTGTCCAGCTGTCTGGCCATATTTCCATCTGTCAGTCTGTCTGTCTGTCTGTCATTTCATCTGTCCCTATGTCCATCTGTCTATCAATCCATTTGTCTGTCTGTCCCTGTCGGTCTGTTCGTACGTGTGCCTGTTTGCCCTTCCGTCTGTCCGTGTCCGTCCATCCGT